ACACCTTGTTATCTCAGATTCTCCAGCATCTGCAGTTCCTATTATCTCATGGCAACTGTCTGTTTCAATCATATGTTAATCAAGGCTCTAAGGTGTACAAAGGGCCTGAATGCAATTTTAAAGCTCCAAACATGCAGTTTATATGTAGCATATGCTCTGCACATTGTACCAGGCATGAGTAGCCCAACCAACAGCATTTAAAGGAACTTGTACAGAAAAAGCACAGGTCAATTTGTTCAAGAATTTCTATGGACCCCACAGCAGCATGAATATTTCTTCTAGTCAATCAAACAGCTTTTGTTCTGCTGTTCCCCAAACCACATACTCCTCACTAACTCCTCCCTCCCCCATTTAAAGCACAACTTGCAGCTTATGGAGCTATAAGAATTCTCAACAATCCATGGCCACTGTTGGTATATTTCATGTATATTTGATCAGGCAAGAATATATATTTAAGGGAGAAAAGTGATGAAAACAGTGTGACATTATGCCATGTGATATTCCTGTATAAAGGTATCAACTCCATCTGGAATAGCTACTGCTGTACCTCAGAGTCTAGCAAGACAGCCAATCAAATCAGTCTATTAAGTGATAGAGCCCAGACTGTAGCAATGTCTGTGATAAAGCTGTAATATATTTAGTTGCTCTCTAAATAAATTTTCTGATACTTGTTCTCATTAAGAACCAATCTTGGTGTGCGTGTTACAACAGTAAACATTATAGTAAATCCCAAAGAACACATCAGCCACCATTTTCAGTAAAGAACTGAGGTCCTTAGATTAAAAAGGTTGAACCCTCACCGCAAGGGTTTGGGTCAAACAGATCAGCCCATCTTTTTGGATCACACCCAAAATCAAAATCTACCTGATGCATTTTAATTGTAATTTCAATCAATTCTTAATCCATGGAATTTTTTGCTTTTGTGGCTGGGTTTTGTTTTACTCCTTTTGTTGAGCTAATCCGTAATGAGCTTGTGTCCAATGATGACCAAATTGCACTCTTCAAATCAGTAACAGGATGAGCAAGAAGGTAATTTCACTCTCCGAGTTCTGTTCTTGTGTTCAGTTGTCTGACTTTAACCTGTACCCGCACCCAGTGCTATAGCTGAGATAGGAATTAATGGTGTCAACCAGTGTGAGAATACTGTGTATCACTAATTGTCTGTGTTACCGTACTAATCAGGATGAACTTTCATACTTCAACTAATACATTTATTGAAGAGAGCTGTGGCATGAGTTTCAGTGATTCAATTGTTATGTATTGATCTGACCAAGTTTTAATGGATCCAAGTGTGACAATGTCTTCTTATCAAAAGCTTACAATCAACATGGGTACTACATGAATATCATTCTCAGTTTGCTCAGTGCACAGCTCTGTGGTGTCAATGAATAAATGAATATGGGTACTCACCTCCACAACCATCAGTTTAGCCAGTTTCCAATAAGCAACCTTAAAAACATCATTCATTTTGATTGCCTCTGCTTTTAATAATTCTCTGTCAGCGATAGCTTTTCTTGCGTCAGGTAAGATCAAGCGCAGAGCACACCTATAACAAAGACTTGCATTTATATAGTGATTTCACAGGAGTATTTTCATACAACATCAGAATAGTAAAATGATGGTTATTCGGTCCAATTTTAAACAATTTAATTACATTTACTAAGAATAATCTCACAAGGGTACAGATGAGATTTAAGAAGACGTTGTCTGGACTGGAAAGTTTTTGTTATGAGAAAAGATTGGCTAGGCAGGAGGAATTGTTTTCCTTGTACACCGCAGACTGAGGGGAAATGTAATTGCACAATAAAATTATGAGGAGCCTAAGGTAGTTGACAGTAAAGATTTGTTATTGAGCAGAGAGCTCAGTCCAGAGGGGCAAAGGTTTCAAATAACTAGTCAAAGGAGTGGGGAGAAGTGGAGGAAAAATATTTTCACTAAAGGGGTGGTGGGATCTAGAGCTCACTACTTGAAATGGTGCTATTTAACAATGATTGGATATGCATTTGAAGCAAGAACTGGGCTGTGGATTCGTCTGGCTCATGCTTCTTCAGGCAGCACAGACATGATGGGCTGACTGGCCTCATTTTATGCTATTAATTTCTATGGTGGTATAAGTTATATGAAAACCTTGCCTTTAAGAGAATTCAATTTTTAAAAGAGTCCATGTGCTGTGTGTATACAAGGTTGCGACTCTGCCTGCATGTTATTGTACTCTGGGTTTGCATGCTACCCGCACTGAAAGCAGGTAGTTTACTGGAGTGTCTGCATCATAATGTACACTGTTTTACTCCTTTAAATAAGCCAACCCCACAGAACTAATCAATTGCCGATGAGAAATTGATTATTAGATCATTAACATGACAGCAACAATCTGACACAAAGCCACCTGAGGAAATAACAGGGCTGGTGCCCAAAAGCTTGACTTTAAGGTGTACAACATCTAAAAACGTAATCATTAAGGTCTACCATCAAGAGCTATCATGCTCCAATCATGTCATATTGCAGAAACATCTCTGTAACTATTACACATACTTTCTGATCCATGTAACTGATGATTTTATGGAACCAATAGCTTCGTCCGGAGACAGTGCTACTTTTTCAACAAACACTTTTTCTCTCTGCAAAGTTCTCTGGATTGCTGGAAATAGCTTTATTGGATCACTCCTCCATGATTTTTCATGCAATTCAGCCTGTCAAAGAAATTCAGATGTGTGATCATTGATGAGCATATTTCAGGCTTATCATCAGGACCTTTTGAAAGATAATGAACTGAGTGTGATTACCATGTGGATCCTGCCAATACAAGGGCGTGATTGAGATGATCCATACAGATGCAATTATGAGGAGACATTAGATAAATCCATAAGGATGAAAGGATATAGAGACCGCATGAGATTTGACAAAGACAAGAGAAAGCCCATGTAGGGAATAAAGACTGACAGTGTCCTGTTCAGCCGGTTTCTGCACTGTAATATTCTGTGTCATTATTTTGTCAATGGAAATCCATAGCTGCATCAGGCCATACCAGATGAGATAATGGTTTAGATGTAACTATTAAAATTCATCACTTGAATGAGCTTTTTTTATATTTAATCTAATCTGGGATCGGAGATTCCCACTTAGGTCAGTTCAATGTCAGTTCTAACCTCAGTTAACACAGCATGGAGTTCCACATGAACATAGATGAAATTTTTAAAATGCAATTACATAATTTGTATAATTTGTTCTATATTGGAAATAGTGGAGGTTTTTTTTGCTTAATATTGGGTGCATTCATTTAATAGAAGTGGTTCAGTGGTCAGCACTGCTGCCTCACAGCACCAGGGACCCAGGTTTGATTCCAGCCCTGGGTGGCTCTCTGCATAGAGTTTCCCCATGTCTGTGTGGGCTTCCTCTCACAGTCCAAAGATGTGCAGGTTCGGTGAATTAGCCTTGGGAAATGCAGCGTTAGAGGGAATGGGGTGGGTTTGGGTAGAATGCTATTCAGAGGGTTAATGTGGACTCAGTGGGACAAATGGCCTGCTTCCACACTGTAGGGATTCTATGATTTGCCTTTGTTGGATTTTGTGTATTCCAGATGGCACTTACAGTCAATGCTATGTAACATCCAGTATTCCTCCTCAGTTGGGCGAGCTGACAATAGGATTATGAATAACACTGGCAGTGCACCTATTCCATGCTAAATAACCAAAGAGCATAATTTTTTTTTTAAATAATCCTCATGTCAAGGTGAGTAGATGCAATATTTTACCTTTTGAGGCTCAAATCTCATTTTCCAGGAGCTTTTGCATTTGTATAAAATTGTGCCATCCTGATGAGAGTCTGCTAATGTACAGAACAAATAATACACACACACACACGCACACACCAGAAGCTCTAGAATCAGACTTTATCAAGTTCCAATCTTGACAAACGAAGGTTAGCAGTCTCACATTCATATTCGCAATTGCTGTCTGTGTGATCTGCAAACTTTCATCTGGCAAGTAACCCACGGAGCCATTACACTGAATTTACAGGTCAGAAATGGACTTTACATTCCAATGTGTCAATGCAGATATTATTGCTCTGCACAAGTTTCCTCCTAGCCAGTGCAATTTACATTTGTAGGAGTCTATAGTTTGTGCTGTGGAAATCATACGGTTCTTGAAAAAACAATTCCACAAATTGGACATAGGACAAAATTCTACAAAACCAAAGTATTGCATAATGCTGCATGTCTGAGATAAAAACATTAAAAGCTGGCAATAATCATCATTAGGTCTGGCACCATTTACAAAAGAGGACAAAGTTAATGGGCAGATTCTTCCCGAGGTGGTAGGGGAGAAAAAGGTTGGGGTGAGGAGTTGGGGTCAGGAAGAAAATCAACAGCCAATTGATAGGTATGGAAGGAGGTTGTCCTTAGCTATAATACATTGTGGCTGGGCTAAATTTTGTGTAAAAAGGGCAGCTCCAACCCTCTGGAAGAGGCCTACCCTTTGGAGCTGTCGGTATCTTCAGCAGACCAGCAGTGCCAGACTTTGGTAGTGGGCACTGCTGGAACTGCAATGAGTCCCAAAAAAAGAAGGCCAAATGGAACCCTGGACCCAGGCAAGTAGGGGCTGTGCACTGGGAGGGACTGTCCCCCTTGTGGACGGGCTGCTGGGGATAAGGGGTGGGTATTAAAGTATGCGCGAGAGGTAGAAGAAAGGTGGACAGGTACTATCTCTGTGTCAAAGCCCCCAACACACAGAAGAAACTCTCTGACAATAATATCCTTCTCTCTCTTCCTTTCTGTACTTATAAAAGCTTGTTAAAAATGAGCTCTTGTCCATCCAGCATTATGAGCAGAGTCAAAATGGGGTCTATTGAGTTTTTAACAAGTTTACATATAGTGCACCACCCATCGTCCACATTATGGGGGTGAGCTCAGGGATGGATGTGAAGGTGGAGGGACTGGCACACACCTTCTATTTATGTATCACCCCATCGAGAACACATCCCATGGGGGTGTGGAGAATCCAGCCGAGTGTTTCACGTCTATGTCTTTTCACTGGAACATCTGAGTATTGTTCAGGTGAAAGGTCACTGACTCAAAATATTAACTCTGTTTCTCTCTCTGCAGACTCTGCCAGGTCTACAGAGTACTTTCAGCATTTTCTGAAGGCTATATATTAACTTGTTTGTTTCCTTTTGTCAACATTCTAGTTTTGCAAACAATCTTATACCCAATACTTATATCAAGATACTTATAGTATCTGGTTGATAATATGGGCTTACCTCTCTGAGGCAGCGAAAGCCATGCTTCTTTAGGAAGTTTTGGAATGTCTGACCAGCTTCTCCACTTTCCTGAGACAGCAACCAAGATATTGCAGTCTAATTAGAGAGAAATTGAAACAATGTGAGCCACATTCTTTCAACATAATTAACATTCTAAATGTTTAATTGCACTTCTGACAAGCATCCAGTTAATCATCTCAAAATGCAGTCAAATAGAAATTTGAAAGGAACTGGGGAAAAAGGACAAGATTATAATTTGCTAAAGTTGCTTTCTAAAAAAAACTAACAGAATTCTCAAAACTGCAACACAATTGAACATTTTCCAGTCTCACCAAAAAGTGATTTAAAGTATAATGTAGAATACTCTGCGTGTTCAATTCCCATTTTATGATATTATAAATGAGAAAAGAATACATATTTGGAGGTTTACTTTGACAGGCGACTTGAGCAGGTAGCTTTATTGCTTTGATGTGCACTTAAAACTTGACAAGTTTATTAAAAAATTATTGACTAACTGTATATAACTATTACAGGACCTGTCTTCACAATAAATGAATCTTAGAAATGAAGATTTACATCATTCCATCTCAATGCAAGTTTTGTTTTATTCTCCATGTTCAATCTAAGAGTTTTTCATTACCACACATTTCCTTTAAGTAGAATCTACATAGTGGCCATGGTTTCTTTTGTTTGTCTAGATGCCTATCGATAGTAAGCATCAGCATTTGACAGGAGATGCGCTTGAGTGAATTAATACTTTTCCTTCCTCTCCCGACTTGCTCTTTCTCACGAAGTCCACAATTAGTATTGAGTTTAATGTTGGGCTTGGCACACAAATGATGGATGCTGTGCGCTAACTCCCAACAAGCCGAGAAATCTATGGCCAGAGGCGGAATGAGGACTTTTAAACAGGAAAAGATATGTCCATCTGCATATGCTCAATCTCAGATCTTGTTCTTAAAAATACATGGTCACTCAAACTCAAAACACATGGAGTTCAAAAGGGCACAATTTTCACTCTAGTACAGTAATAAGTGAGTGCTGCACTCTCAGAGATGATGTCTTTCGAATGAAACATTGAATTGATACCGCATCTGCTCTCCTCATGCACGTTAGAGGGTTCGCCATGGTCTGTACTCACCAGGCAGACCACCTGGAAGGGTTAGGGAGCTGTGAGTTGGTGTTGTTGGTTTAACTCAGGTAACTAAACAGCTGGTTTGCAATGCAGAGTGATGCCAATATCATGGGATCAATCCCAATAATAGTTGAAGTCACCATGAAGGTCTTAACTTCTCAACCTCTCTCCTCGCCTGAGGCTAAACCACTACCAGTTATTTTTGTCTAATGAGAGAGTATCCCTATGGTCCTCAGGGATTTTGTTGCCTTTACCGATATAAATGCAATGCTTTACATCCTCCTTTCTTTCTGTGCATACATCAGGTGAGGGGCAGGTGGTGATGTCACTATCCAACTACACTGGTATGGGCCTGGGAAAATATTCTTGAAGATCTCTGTGTGTCTGTGTGTCTGTGTGTGTGTGTGTGTGTGTGTGTGTCTGTATCTGTGTCCGTGTGTGTGTGTGTGTGTCTGGTGTGTGTGTGTCCGTGTGTGTGTGTGTGGTGGGGGGGAGGTGATGTGGTGTTTGCATCTGAAGCTACCATCTAAGCATGAACAGCAGCAGAACAGACTGGGCTGGCTGACAAGCAGCAGCGTTGGCACTGGTGGAGTGGCTGTCATGGGAGAACACATTCTGTTCATTTGGGAGAGGACTGGAGGGTCAAACTCCATAGCATGACTGCCACTCCCCTCAGGCAGTACCACTGCAATACTAACCTGTCAAGGGCAGACTGCTGGGCAATGGTGAGAGCCTGCAAGCCCTTTCGTGTTATCGTTGGTACAAGGACAGTATAATTTTAAGGGCCAGGCTCAGTATGTTCACAGCTGGGGTGTAAGGATGAATCTGCTAGCTCCTCTGTGCAGGCATGGTAGAGGCAATAGGTTAAAGAAGTGTAATGATTGGAATGAGGGCCAAGTGGATCCACTGACTATGAGATCCCTGATTGGGATTGATAACCCAGGCCAATCAAGGAGCCCTGGCTAACTGATATAACCAGGAGATTCAGTGAGTCTCCTCATTCTAGAGCCTGGCTTTGAGCTGATTGGTCACAGCCCACATACTATGCACATCTAAATAAGGGATGACTTGGTGACGGGATACCGACTTCGGTGCAGTTATTTCAGGAAGATAATAACTGACAGAGCCAGGGGAAGGATGGAAACAGTTTGGCTTGTAGCAGAATTATTTGAGGGTCTGCAGACAGCATTTGTGTTTTTCCAGAACCAAAAATGATATTGGAAAAATACAGTCACAAATGATCTGCAATGGTCCCATTAAGAACTGCTACTTCTGCTACTGTATGCTTGGCAAAAACTTGAGAATGTGTGACATGCATCCAAACTCTTTATGATTGCCCTTGGGGCAAAAGGGGCTTTTGGCACTTTTTCCACCTTTATGGGACTAAAGTTCAAGTTTAACAGGTGGAAACTGAGGCAGTTCAGACTCCAGCTCTATACCCCTACCTGTGATATGTCATGTTATACATGTTGCCTGTTATGCACCTTCCCTGTTATATATCCCAACTGTTATTCCTCACCTGTTATATACCTCGTCAGATACTCATTCTATATCCCACCTGGCATACATACCACTTTTTATACACATCATATATTCTCAATGTTATACATTACACATCTGCCTATTATACAACCCACGCAAATTTTTCAATCAGCGTTTATGGCTCTAAATTGAAGAGTCCAAAATTCAGTTGTTATTGTTAGTATTTATGTTTATTCATTCTTGGTATGTGACGTCACTAGCTGGGCCAGGATTCATTACACCAGCTACCATTCTGCTGAGCTTCCCCAGCAACTTCTGTTTTTCTTCCTGATTTACAGCATCCTCAGTTCCTTCGGTTTTTATTGAGTATTTAACTCGCTGCCACATCTCTTCTAGGCATGCCCACCTTGAAGAAGTTCTGCTCCTCTCTCTGACAGGATTTCCGTCCCAATTTTTCTTCGTGTCCACCAACATTAATTTTATCCTATCGTTTACTCCCTAGCCCAAACCCCTCCCTATTTTCTGCAATACAAACCAATGTTTTCCCAGCTACCATCAGTTCTGAGGAAGGGTCACCGGACCCAAAACGTTAACTCTGATTTTTCTTCACAGATGATGCCAGACCTGCTGAGCATTTCCAGCAATTTCTGATTTTGTTCCTGATTTACAGCTTCCGCAGTTCTTTCAGTTTTTATTCATTGCACATCCTGTGTTGCTTGTGAAAAGGTGGAGATGAGCTCCCTTTTTGAACCGCTACAGTCCATGTGCTGTCGGTAGACCCACAATGCTGATGGGGAGGGAATTGCAGTGTTTTGACCCAATGACACTGATGGAACAGCATCCAAATCAGGTTGGTGAGTGGCTTGGTGGGAATGCGCAGGTGGTGGTGTTACCATGTATCTGCTGCCTTGATCTTCTGTCTAAACAGTTCCTACCTAAGAAGTCTTGGAGAATTTCTGTAGTGTATCTTGTAGATGGTACACACAGCTGATGCTGAGCATCAGTGGTAGAGGGAGAGAATGTTTGTAGATTTGATGCTAATCAAACAGGCTGCTTTGTCCTAGATGATGTCAAGCTTCTTGAGTGTTGTTGCAGCTGTGCTTATCCTCGTAAGTGGGCACTGTTTCACAACACTGATGACTTCTGCTTTGTAGGTGGTGGACAGGCTTTGGAGAATCAGGAAGTAAGTTACTCACTGCAGTATTCCTAGCTTCCGACCTAATCTTGTAGCCACTGTGTTTATGTGGCTGGTCCAGTTCAATTTCTTATCAATGGGTACCCCTCAAGACGTTATGATGTGGAGATGCCAGTTTTGGACTGAGGTGAACAAGGTCAGAAGTCACATGACATGAAGTTAAAGACCAAGAGGTTTATTTGAAATCACAAGCTTTCAGAGTGCTGCTCCTTCACCAGGTGAAGTGTTGACAGTGAGAGATACAGTGATGTTAATACCTTTGAATGGCAAGCGGCGATATTTAAATTCTCCCTGTTAGATGTGATTGCTGCCTGGCACTTTTGTAGCACAAATGACAATTGCCATTTGTCAGCCTAAACCTGGACATTGTTCAGGTCTTGCTGCATTTGGCTATAGACTGTTTCGGTATTTGAGGAGTCGTGAACAATGTTCAATCAACAGCGAACATCTCCACTCCTGATCTGATGATGGAGACAAAGTAATTGATGAAGCAACTGAGGATGGTTGGACCCAGGATACTACCCTGTGGAACTCTTGCAGAGATGACTGACTTCCAACAACCACAATCATCTTTCTTTGTGTCAGGTATGATTCTAACCAGTGGGAGAGTCTTCCTCCTGATTCGTATTGACTCTAGTTTTGTTCAGGCTCCTTCATGCTACATTTGGCCTTGATGTCAAGGACAGTCACTACTGCACCATCTTTTGAAGTTAGCTCCTTTGTCCATTTTTGAACCATGGCTAAAATGAGTGATACTGACAGAAACCAAACTGAGTGTCAGTGAGAAAGTTTTTGCAAAGCAAGTGTGGCTTGACAGTACTGTTACTGGTCCCACTTTACTAATGATCACATTCCCATGTTATCTGGTATCCAACATTGTTACTTACCTCAGCATCCAGCTTTAGAAATTCAGAACGCTTGCCCTGCGTTTGGATTGCTTCAGCGATCGCCTAAAGTAAAAGCGAAAGGTGAGTATTCTTTAAAAAATCACATGAAAATAAATAAAACTGAATCTATCAAAAAGCAAACATTATGTGAGTAATTTTCACCTTTTTCCATTCTGTGGTAAACGGACAGGGCATTAACCGTACAGTGAAAATAAAGATTATATTGATTTTATATAGTCAAGACTATCCATATAGCGAGTTTATCACCCTATCAGTGAAAGGGAAAGTTACCTCACTCTGGCCCAATATTTAGTGTTCAAAGCCTAGCAAGCAAATTTGAAAGCATGAAAGGTAAGTCAGCATATTATGTTAGATACATTCAGTGTAATTCTGAACTCTTAATGCTTTGATATTAGTACCTTAATAACAAAAGAATGAATCATTTCAAATGTCAACATTGTCAGTACTAACAGGGATGACTAGATGAAAGGAAATTTAGTTTACAGACTTTAAAAAAAAGTTGACCTCTTTCTTTCCTGTGGTCCAGAGGAGGTCAGGGATATTTACATCTTCAAAAGAAATCAGAGTAGAAAATAAATGTCAAGTGCCCTGCAGTTTTTATGTTATTATACAGTCATTAAAACAAAATTGTAAAGTCACAACATTGTGTGACTGAAGATTATGGAAAGCATGTGCCCCTTTTTTGAGACAACAAGGTGCAGAGCTGGATGAACACAGCAGGCCAAGCTGAAGGGTCTAGGCCCGAAACGTAACCCTCTCCCTATTTATTTCAGAACCCCCTTCCCCTCCCCCATTTCTGATGAAGGGTCTAGGTCCTAAACGTAAGACGCAACTGTCCCTTTTTTGAGTTAGTTTAGACTTAGTTCATTGTTTAAAACTGCATTCTGAGAGGGAACAGCTCCAATTCACAGAAAATCAAACCGCCACGGACAACTAAAGAGACAAGGGACAGTGTAAAACTAGAAAAGTTTATCAGAATGCATAAAAACTACACAGATCCTGCTGAATAAGAAAGATACAAAGACTAGCAAAGGGTCACAAAGCAGAGCTACTAAAAGTGGTAATAAAAGAAAACTTGCCAGGGACATCAAAATCACGAAGAAGAAATTTTATATTTACACAAAGTGAAAGCGAGTCGTCAGGAGCAATGTTGACCCACTAAAGGCTGAGAGTTGAGATATTATCAATGACAATGGGGAAGTAGCAAACATATTGAATAATTTCTTTGCCTCAGTATTTATAGTAGAAAAGTAAGATAGCTTGCAAAGTCTTCAGGAAATTAATAGTGGACTGAATGAAATTAAAAAAGTAAAATGTCAGCCGAGCGGAAATTAATGAAATTAAAGAGTGACAAATTCCCAGGATTTAACAGTTTCCATCCGAAGGTGCTAACGGAAGTAGGGGATCACAATATAGATGCACTAACTATAAACTTCCAGAATTCCCTCGATACAGAAGTCATGCCTCTGGATTGGAAAAATTGCACATATCACTTGCTTTTTAAGAAGGGTGAAAGAGGAAAAGCAGGGAATTACAAACCAGTCTAACAAACGTGGTAGGGAAATTGTTGGAATCTATTCACAAGGATAGGGTAACTGAATGCCTTGAAAGTTTTTCAGTTAGTTAGGGAGAGCCAGCATGGACTCATGACAGGCCTGACAAACCTCACCGAATTTTTTGAAGCGGTGACTATGATTGTGGACAGGGGAATGTCTGTGGATGTTGTTTATATGACTTCTGAAAAGGCATTTTAAGAGGTCACACATAACAGACTGTTAACTAAGGTAGAAGCCTATGGGATTGAGGGCAAGTTACTGACATGGCTGGGAAATTGGTTGAGTGGAAGGTGACAGAAAGTAGTGATAATGGGCAATTACTTAAATTAGCAGGAAGTGGCCAGTGGTGTCCCACAAGAACCTGTGTTAGGGCCTCAAAAATTCACATGATTTGTTAATGAGTTGGGTAATAACATAGAAAGTCATATACCCAACTTTGTTGATGACACTAAGTTAGGCGGCATTGTAGTCAGTGTAGGTGATTACAAAGGGATATTGATAAGCTAAGTGAATCGGCAAAACTGTAACAGACAGGGATTCAACATAAGCAAGTATGAGACGATCCACATGGGCTGGAAAAGGGTAGATCAGGGTACTTTCTGGATGGCATGAAATTAAATTTGTCCACTGAAATTAAATGCTATTTGTAAATGCTCTTTGTAATATATATGATTTGGAGGAAAATGTAACTGGTTTGATTAATAAGTTTGCGGATGACACAAAGGTTCGTGGAATTGCGGATAGCAGTGAGGACTGTAAAAGGATACAGCTGGATACAGATCGGTTGGTGACTTGGGCAGAGAGATGGCAGATGGAGTTTAATCCGGAAAAATGTGAGGTAATGCATTTTGGAAGGTCAAATCCAGATGGAAAATATACAGTAAATGGCAGAACCCTTAAGAGTACTAATAGGCAGAGGGATCTGGGTGTACAGGTACACAGGTCACTGAAAGTGGCAATGCAGGTGGAGAAGGTAGTCAACAAGGCATGTGGCATGCTTGCCTTCATCAGTCGGGGCACTGAGTTTAAGAATTGGTAGGTAATGTTGCAGCTTTATGGAACCTTAGTTAGGCCGTATTTGGAATACTGTGTTCAATTCAGAAGGATGTGGTGGCTTTAGAGAGGGTACAGAAAAGATTTACCAGGATGTTGCCTGGTATGGAAGGCATTAGCTCTGAGGAGAGATTGGAGAAACTTGGGTTGTTCTCACTGGAATGACGGAGGTTGAAGGGCGACCTGATAGAGGTCTACGAGGTTATGAAGGGCATGGACAGAGTGGACAGTCAGAAGCTTTTTCCCAGAGTGGAAGAGTCAGTTACGGGGGGTCATAGCCTTAAGGTGTGAGGGGCAAGGTTTAAAGGTGTTGCACGAGGCAATATTTTTTACACAGAGGCTAGTGGGTGCCTGGAACTCACTGCTGGGGGAGGTAATGGAAGCAGATAGTATAGTGACTTTTAAAGGGCATTTTGACAAAGACATGAATAGGATGGGAATAGAGGGATATGATCCCCGGAAGGGTAGGGGGTTTTACTTGTGACAGGCAGCATGTCGGTGCAGGCTTGGAGGGCTGAAGGGCCTGTTCCTGGGCTGTAATTTTCTTTGTTCTTTTGTTCTTTGTTCTAAATACAGTAGGTGTCCAAAGGGACTTGGAAATTCAGGTGCATAGATATTTAAAGTGCCATGGACAGATGCAGAAATGGGGGAACAGGTGAAACAGAAATTTATTTTAATAAGTATTTTAATAAGTCCTCCATTTTCATTACACCCTTTCCTGCTATCAATTTTTGCTCTCAGCTGAGCTAATTTATTTACCACTGTTAATACCTACCATTAACACCTGTTCTTCGATTATATCATTCCATTACTACCATTACCATCCCCTTTGCTTTTTGCTGTTGGCACACTCGTTATTTGTTCCATTTGCATCCCCTCTCTCTTTGTGAACAGTGAAAAGAAGATCATTTTCTAGCCCATTCAATTCTGAATTGAAAGATTTTTGTTTGGGAAGAGTATCAAGGGATATGGAACAAAGGTAGGGTACATGGTATAAATTAGCCTGATTTAACTGAAAGGCAAAATTTTCTCAAGGGGCTTGATGGCCTATTCCTGCTCATACAACTGATCTTTAGCTCATTATTTTAATGATATAGCTTAATTTTACAATATTTGTTGCTGTCTTTTAATGTATATTTCTCAGTATAAACTTGATTTATGATTCACCTATCAATTTACCAAGGTTTAGAGTCCAGAACATATAGTTAGAGCTGCCAACAGTAAAACACTCCTACATCTGCTATTTCTACAGCAAAGACACGAGATTTAAAAGTCTTTTTTTAAAAAAAGAGATTAATACATATGTTAGATCAAAGAACAAAGAGCTATCGTATGAATACATCTTTGGACAACAAATCTTTCTTACACTGTTCACAGCCCGAGAAGAATTTTGTTTTAAATGTTCTCATTTAGTACAATCATTATCATGCAAACATCTAACTTTTTTGAGACAATTTGGTAACAAATACAAATTCTTGACATTTCATGTAAAGCATCACTGGATGAGTATCCCGTAATTCCAGTCTAATGTTATGGGAACAGGGATTCAATTCCACTATGACAGATGGTGAAATTTGAATTCAATAAATTAGCGTGAGTAATGGTGAGCATGTAACCCCTGTCGCTTGTTATAAAAAATTCGTCTGGTTCACTGATGCCCTTTGGGGAAGGAAATCTGCAATCCTTACCTGGGCTAGTTCCCATGTGACTCTAACCCACAGCAATGTGACTGAGTTTTAACTGCCTTCTAGGCAATTAGACAAAGGTACTAAATGCTGATGTAGCCAGTGATTCCCATATCTCAGGAACAAATAAAAAATGGCCAATAGTTAAAGTTCAAATCTTTGAGGGATTTCTTTATCTATAATCATCCAAACACCAGTCTGAGAATTAATCTGATCCCAGATACTTAATGAATGATGTGATTTACATCTTCTTATTTATCTCAGCAATGCTCGCCTTTCGCAACCTAGCCGTATGTGGAGTTTCTTCTCAAGGTATGTAGAATCATGGAATCCCTACAGTGTAGAAGCAGGCCATTTGGCCCATCAAGTCCACACCGACCTTCTGAAGAGCATCTCACCCAGACCCACATCCCCTAACCTATCCCTGTAACCTTGCATTTAGCATGGCTAATCCACCTCATTCCTGGACTATGGGAGGAAACCAGAGCACTCAAAGGAAATCTATGCTGTCACAGGGGGAATATACAAACTCCACTCAGATAGTCTCCCAAGGCTGGGATTGAACCCAGGTTCCTGCTGCTGTGAGGCAACAGTGCTAGCCACTGAGCCACCAGACCACCCATTGAGAGTTTTGAGCAGAACCCATTTGCGATCAAAATCAGCAGCACAATGGCATTACAAAACTGAATGAGAAATGGTCAGCTGAGAAAACCAATACAATTCATGCCTGTAGAAATTTGGGCAATCT